AGGGGGAGGGAAAGGGGAGGCGGCGGTGGGGAAGAGACAGAAATCTTTAATAAATAAATAAATAAAATGCTATTGAATGCTTGTGACCCCCATTGTGAGGCTTCATTGCAGATCATGCCTCTCTAATAACTATAAAGTCATGTCCCCAAATTCAGCATCCCTCTGAAATATGCCAAATTCTAGCTTTTTGAAATGTTCCTTTTCTGTATTCGACACTGACCATTTTTACCAGCTCTCTTCAAGAAGCATATGTAGCAAGTCATACTTCCACCTACTGCGTCATATGTTCTGTGACTGCCTCATTGTCTCAGCCACATTCACAGCAAGAATCATTTCATGTTCTTTTGTTTGTTTTATGAGCTAAGGTCTCACTCTGTACCTTAGGCTGACCTCAAACTCAGAACACCGTGTCTGCCTGAGCCTCCTGAGTGCTGGCATACAGGCATGAGCCCCCATGCCCAGTTCACAAGCAGAATCTTAATACTCACCCATAGCACTGTTGTGTTTATGAACTTCTGTTCTCAGAGAACGTCCAGATTGCCCTAGTGGTCAGGTGTGCCTATACAATTACTAGACAGAAAATAAGCACAGTATTGGGAACAGGGAAAAAACAAGGACAAATAAGGGAAGGCAGAACAGGGCAGTATTTTTAGAAGCATTAAATACCAATCTCTACTGGAAGATTCCGCCTATTGCAGTGAAGACCGAACAAGAGAGCAGACGGCTGTTCCTAGAGGAACGTTAACTGTAGGAAGACTCACCTACAGCAGCATGGGAGAGAACCTGGAGTCGGGAAGTTCAGGGAGAAGTTCATACAGGAACCATTGCGTACTTAACTTGTGTCTGTTGTGTAAGGACTGTCAGCATAGGCCACACTTAACACTTCTTTGTCGATTGTTTAGTTGATGCCGCAAGCCTCCTGATGGCATCTCACTGAATTCCCACAGGAATGGCACATAACCGTTCTATACAGTCCCTGGACTGTTCACTCACAAACCATAGGTGTCCTCCATTTAAAGTGTGTATAATCGGAGTGAAGAAATGAACTCAGTAGTAAAGCCCTAAATTTGATACCCAGCACCCAAAAAAAGAAAGGTTTGTTTGTTTTTTTAAATGGGCTGGGAAGTAGTGTAGTTGTTAAAGAACTTGCCTTACAGACACGAAGACCTGAGTTTGGTCACCAGTGTAAGCTGAGTGGGTACAAACTTGTAGACCAGCTACTCTGGGGTAGGTCAGTCTCAATAAACAAACAAATGTTTTGAAGAGAAAAATCCAGATAGGATGACAAAAGCTTGTAATCCCAAGGTTATGGAGGCAAGAGACAGGAGGAACTCTGAAACTCATTGGCCAGCCTTTGTAGCCTCGTTGGTGAGCTCCAAGCCAGTTAAAAACCTGCTCAGAGTGGATGAATTTCTGAAAATAGCACTTGAGATTGTCCTCTGGCCTCCACACATATGTGCACATATGCACATGCATCTGCATACATGGGCGTGTACATGTGTATTTTTTTAAAAGAGAAAAATATAATTAAGTGGTATCTTGTTTGTTTTTCAAGACAGGGTTTCTCTATGTGACAACCCTGACTGTCCTTTTTAAATCAAGCTGGCTCCAAATTTACTGAGATTTGCCTGTCTGCCTCCCAAGTGCTGGGATTAGAGGTGTGCACCACCACACCCAGCCCACGTGGTATCTTTTCAAAGTATATTTATAGCATTTGTATAGTCATCATCGCCTTCCATTTCTGAACCTTCTCATCATCCACCAAGGAGACCATATTAACCATGGGTCCTAATATTCCTTTTCTCTGTAGGTTGCCTGTTCTGTATGTTTCATATACATAGGATTAATACATTATTTGAAAAGTCTTTATATGATTATTTACCAAAAAACTGTGGTTTTCCAACTTGTTGTAATATTTCTTTACAGCTCCATGTATTTTTCCCTTCAAGGCAAGAAATAGTCAAGAGTTTAGTTTTATAGCTAACTCTTGCTCAACTGTCTTACAGAAGGTGATGAAGTGGGTACTGGCATCACTGATGACAATGAAGATGAAAATTCAGCCAATCAGATCGCTGGAAAAATACCCAACTTCTGTGTGCTGCTCCATGGTAGCCTGAAAGTGGAAGGAATGGTGGCGATTGTACAGCTAGGGTAGGAGGATTTCATTTGTATTTGGTTGACACAAAGGGAACGATAAGGTGAAATGTTTCACAGACGCTGATGAAAGAAATGGAAGATCTTGGTCACCTTTTTCTCTCCCTGCCCACTTCCCTTTTCCTGTCCTTTCCTACCTCCATTATTTTATGCTTCTTTATCATCCTCAAAAGTGTGAAACTACCTTTGTAATTACATTGACTTTATAGTCTATGCTTTCTCCATGTTCCTCTTAAATTTTTTGTTCATATATTTACTGTATTTTTTGAGAGAGGATTTTGCTGTATGACCCAAGCTAGTCTCACACCCATGATCTACCTGCCTCAGTTTCCAATGTGCTGGGATTGCAGCTATACCAATCATACTTGGCAAGTTTTCCTCTTTTTAAATCCTGTTTGGCTTGTCTGGGTTTTGGTTATAGGACCCTGTGATTTGCTTTAATACCTTAGCACTCAGGTTCCTCATCTATAAAATGGGAAAATAGAACTAAGTGGGGAGAAGGATGCTACTAACATTGAGATTTGTCAAGTCCAGGCATTCTCCTGAGTATGTCCTGTATGTTAGTTAACATCATCTCAGCACTGCACGGGGTGAGAACACTGAAGCTTAGAGAGACAGAGGAAATCACCCAAGGTCACAAAGATAGAAAACTGAAGAGCCAGAGTTCTTAACCTACATGCTTCATACAGAACTCATGCAACCACCTTGTTGACTTCCTGCCCTGTGAGGAAAGAACTAGGTTTCATCCCGCCTGCAGTCATGAAATCTGCATAACCTTCAGCTGCCCTTCCTGTGTCACCTGGTGTTAGAAAAGAGGGCCATGATTGACAGATACAGAAGATCAAAGGGTTAAGATTAACTCTGCTTAAGTGAAAATTCCAAAAAGAATAGTTATTTTCTTTCTTAGGTTTATTTTTAAGTGTGTGTGTGTGTGTGTGTGTGTGTGTGTGTGTGTGTGTGTGTGTGTGTGTGTGTGTGTGTAGGCGAGTGCAGGTGCATGGAGGTCAGAAACTGGAACTGAAGTTACAGGGGGTCATGAGCTGCCAAATATGGGTGCTCAGAACCAAACCCTGGTCCTCTGCAAGTGCAACAAGTGCCCTTAATAGTTACCTGATCTATTTCTTGGCACCCAAGCTACTGTTGACTTATGATATGAGAATCACCTAAGGTCCTTTCAGAAGCTGGGGCCTAGAATATTTTCTGACTGTTGGGAGACCTTGCCTGTAGTGTCACTGCTGTGACTTCAGGAGGCCTCAGCTCTTACTCCTCTGTGCTTGGACTGCTGCTTCCTGTGCTTTGCAAGGTTTTTTTTTTTTTTCTTTTAAACCGCTTTCACTGTACACACAATTTTGTCTAACTTAACTAATATGGGTTTCAGAGAATTGGAAATACTATGTGCATTTTGGGGGTTTAAGATTTGGCTTTGGGCTGGGCGGTGGTGGCACGCGTCTTTAATCCCAGCACTTGGGAGGCAGAGGCAGGTGGATTTCAAGTGAGTTCAAGGCCAGCCTGGGCTACAGGAGCTAGTTCCAGGACAGGCTCCAAAGCCACAGAGAAACTCTGCCTCAAAAAAAAGAAGAAAAGAAAAAAAAAAAAAAAAAAAAAAAAAGCAGAACCTAGACTTCTTAACCTGACAATCCTAGGTTTGATGGTCTGCTCTTCCATCTTCTCTCCATCTAGTCCTGAATGGCATGGGATGCTCTACTCGCAAGCTGATAGCAAGAAGAAGTCAAACCTCATGATGTCTCTCTTTGAGCCTGGCCCAGAACCTCTCCCATGGCTGGGGAAAATGGCACAGTTGGGTCCCATTTCAGGTATAACCCAGACCAGATTCTACTTACTTGACTTGGTTGTCTCTATGGTGTTCTGAATGTCTTTGGGTGTTGTTGGAGCATGCCTGACCTCTCTGATGCTGGGTGCATACATAGAGGACCTCAGAGTGTTTGAGGCTTGCATCTAACTTTCTCAGCTCAAGGAAAACAAACGTTTATATTGACTAAGTATCTTTGTTTATATCTATATTGACTATTGTATATATATATACAATATATACATATTGTATATATATATATTTGTATTGACAATATTTATATTGGCAGTAGTGTTGTTGGCTGCTCTGAGTGGAAAACTCCATGTTTTTCTTTTGTACAGTCAGTCATTCTTAGGCCACGGAGTCCTCTTCCTTCTGGAAATGCTTTTCTCTTGACTTGAGTGGTGTTGCTACTGATTTTTGCCTGGCTTTCCTATATCTTGTCTCCTTGTCTTCCTGTTGCCTCCATTTCCAAAATGTTCTTTGCTTTCTCCTGATGTTTGTGCTCTTTCTGGGTTCTTTCTTCAGCTATAGTGGGTTCAGACTCCCAGATCTTCTCGAGTCTCAGCTGGTGTCCCTCACGTCCATGTGTCGTGTTTCCAGTTTTCAGCTGCACTGTCAGCATCAAGCTCAGCTCCTCCTCACTACTTACACTGTTCCTCCTTCTCACTTTGCTGTTCTTACCCTTGACCCTGTTGATTCCATTTCCAGTTCAGAAACATCTATCTGTTCTGTGCCAGGTAGATAAAAGGTAGCTAGAGTTTTCCAAGGCTGATGGGAATTGGACTTAACAGAGAGCGTGACAGGTCAACCGGGACAGGGTGATCAGATCAGCTGTCTGTGACTCAGGAGATCTTCACAGGGCAGAAGCACACTGGCTGAGTTTTGAAAAGTTTGCTGAACTTATGAAGAAAGGGCTGTTGAATACCTGTTGGAAGGGAAGAAGCTGTAGCACTCTGAGCACATCGGGAGGGGCAGAATGTAGGTTAGAGATTGGCTGTGGTTAGAGCAGACTAGGCCTGCTCTGAAATGACTGTTCTGCAGATAATGGGCAGCACAGCTGAGCAGGATGATCAGCTCCTTCTGGTATTAGGACAGCACTCAGGATAGCAGTTAGGGGATGTGTGCAGATGCTAGTGTCCCTAATACAGGTAAGAGATACAAATAAAATTTGCACTCCAGGGCTGGTGCTGGTAGAATACTTGTCTGGCAATGCTTGAAGCTCTGGGTTCAATCCTCAGTACCTCCCATATCTGGGTGTGGCAATAAGGCCACACCTCCTAAGCCTTCCCAAACAGTTCCACTAACTGGGAACCTAGCATTCAAATATATGAGCCTTTGGGGCCATTCTCACTGAAACCACCACAACAGTCTATAAATTGAAAGTGAACAGGAGAATAGCCTTGGGGTAAACATTTATTCATCATATTTGAGCCTAAGAAACACCCGTGGAAGTGCCTAGAGGCAATCCCTGTAGGAGTCAAGTAAGGAAAGCAGCAGTTACAGGCAGAACCCTTAGTTACAGCAGATCACTCTGGGCCACAGGGTGAGAGTGATTGGGATTACTTAAGGGGTAGCTCACAAATTTGAGGGGTTTTTTTTTGTTTGTTGGTTGGTTGGTTTTTGTTTTTTTTTTTTCTTTTAGATTTTTGAGGCAGGGTTTCTCTGTAGTTTTTGATGCCTGTCCTGGAACTAGCTCTTGTATACCAGGCTGGCCTTGAACTCACAGAGATCCACCTGCCTCTGCCTGGGATTAAAGGCGTGCGTCACCACCGCCCAGCTAAGATTTATTTATTATGTATACAACATTCCTTCCATGTATGCCTGCACACCAGAAGAGGGTACCAGATCTCATTATAGATGGTCATGTGCCACCATGTGGTTGCTGGGAATTGAACTCAGGACCTCTGGAAGAGCAGTCAGTGCTCTTAACCACTGAGCCATCTCTCCAGGCCCTTCGAGTTTTTATGTATGAAAGTAAACTTTAGAAATTCTATTTTTTGGGCCCCACATGTAGAGATTTACATTCAGGCAGTAAGCACTAAACTGACTGTTGTTTTCCTGTTTTTGTATTGGTATGGTTTTTCTCCTCTTCAGTGGGACTAAGAAACCTAGCATCTATTGAACTTGAGTTTGTCAAGCACTGTACTAGTGGTATACAGGACTGTCCTCCCATCAAACTGCTTCTTCATAGGTTCAGCTGTGTCCACTTGTAAAAGATCATCCCAGCTGGGTTTGATGACTGGTAGGGGCAGGAAGGTCACGGGACTCTCATCTAGTACCTGCCCCCCAATACACATACACACCATGTTTATGCAATTCTGCCTTAATTGCATGTGACCTCTTGGGACAGGCTAGAGTATATAAGTAAGAAGGACTAAAGAAGGGAGCCATTAGTGCCGCTGTGAGAAAGCCAACATACATGCTGCTGAAGACACTGTCTGGCCTTTTGGGGCAGGGGAACACCTACATTCCTGTAAGTAACCTTTCCCCTATGCTCTGTAAGTAAGATCAGTAAACTTATTAGTTACCCAGGGTGAAGTTAGGTGGAATTGTGCCTTGGTTTGTTATGTGGAGCTTCAGGACAAGAAGAGGCATTGTTTACAGCTCCCCAGAAAAAAAGACTTTTAGCAACAGCAAGAAACTGCAGAATTGACCATTTTGTTTAATTTCAGATTGGGATTGGCATGGTTAGAAATGGCAGTAAGAACGCCTGTGCTGAGGGCTGCTGAGGCAGTGTAGTAGCTCTCGTGTCTGTGGTAGAGGACCTTGACAAGCAGCGGAAGACAGGTTTTAGAGGATGCCTTCCATGCTGACAACAGCTGGAGTTCCTCTGCCTGTGGCCCTGGGGACTTAAGGCAAACCTTGTTGTCTCCAACATGGATCAGGAAGAGTTGAAGCTGGTAGAGTTGGCCTGTAACCCTCAAGTCTCTTTCCCATAAAGCCCAATCTTGCTTGGTTTCGTCCTGTCCAAAAGGTTCCCAGATGACATTTCTCATTCAAACCTCAACAGAAAATATGTGTAAAGTGTGTGATACACAGTGGGCATATAATTTCAAATGCTGTTTTTATTGTTTTTCAGAGCAGAACATACAAATACATTGCTTATATCAATCCTTCCTAGTTCTGACCCATAGACAGTCATTTGTTTCTTTTGGTATTTTTACCTACCTTCCTAAGCAACACAAGTACATAGCTAAGTTTTAATTTATTTTGCATTTTTCGATAGGGTAGGAATGTATGTAGCTGGGACATACATGACTTTTGAAGGATGTCTTTTTAGCTTTCTTCTGTTTGATGACTGGCTGAGAAAAGGGTGTGAGTGACATGTCTGTTTTGAAATCTTGCACATTTGGAAACATCTCATTTCTTTTACACTTGATTGGCAGTTTGGCCTGCTGGTGCCTTTGTACCTCTGGTATTCTGAGTTTTCAGAGGAGAGCTGTAGCTATTGCTTTCTACATTCATCTGCCTGAACCCGTGCTGAGCACATGAGTTCTCTGGCTTTCCTCCCTCTCTACTCTTCTTCTGGGGCAGTGTTGTATGTACCTCTTTCATTTTCCCATTTGTATTGTTTTGTTGCAGTTTGTTTTGTTCTCTGTCTTCAACTTTACCATGCACCTATGTGGTGGTGGTGGTGGTGTTGTTGTTTTTATTTCTATTATCATGTCTTCTCAGATTTTCTTGTTCTCTTTCATAAGTGCAGTATTTCCTGTTAATGCAAGTTTCTGCAAATGAAAGTACCATATATAAGTTCCAAACAAAGTTAAGAGGCTGTGGCTAGATGTTGGCATATTTGGTACTGACCTTGAATGCTATAGAATAACTGGATGCAAAGAAATCACTGTCAGAAAAACTTGAGGCAGTCACGGGTGAGTAGATTAGCATCTGGTCCTGGAATATAGACAGGTTAAATGGAGTAGGTAGGGAACAGCAGTATTGAATGATGGGAAACCAGTATACTGAATCACTATGAACCCTTGGGTATGCCCACCATTTTGAGCCTTACTTGTTTTTAATAGCTCTTGCTATTGCTTTTCTGGGTGACTCTGTGGAGAGAAACCTAATTGGAATTTAATAGTAATTCTTTTGTTTTAAATAATTATTCTTTGTATTCCTTAAAGCCAAAAATAAATATCTTCTCTAGGCACAATTTCTAGCACAGTTATGTGTTATATACAGAGATCTTGCTGTAGGTGATGAATAAATGAATGAATGGGGGCAGGAGAGCATTCTGTGCAAGGTGGGCAAAGATTATGAATGGGAACAAGGAAGTCAGAAATAAGGATGTTGTATGGGACAGGACTAGGGAGACCTTGGCCTGGCTTAAAGGGGTTTCTGTATTGGTAAGTACTAATGGAAATACATCTAAAAAGTTGGAGCAGTGCTTTTAGTGGAGAAGAGGGTTGTGTGCTGATAGAGGTACTCTGGTCCAGTATTAAGGTGTTGCTTAGTTGACTGGTCGGTTGTGAGGTTGAGTCCACTCAGCCCAGACTGGTTTCAGTTCACAGCAGCCCTGGTTTGTCTCCTGAGTGCTGTTGTTAGCAGGGGTTTTGATTAATGACCAAATCAGGAATAAAGAATTTGGGCCTCACAGTGGGAGCAGAGGCTGTCTCTTGACTCTTTTGCCTGCGTTTAGGATCCTTTTCTCTTACTGGGTTCCTCATTTAATATGTGAGGAGGTGCCTAGTCTTAGCGCAATGTGATATGCCATGTTGACTGATATCCCCAGGAGGCCTGCCCTTTTATGAAGGGAAACAGGAGGAATGGATCCAGGAAGATGGGGGAGATGGGACTGGGAGAAGAGAAGGGAGGGGAAACTGGTTGGGATATAATATATGAGAATTAAAAACAAACAAAATTTGTGGCTCAGCTAGGCATGGCGACCCACACTTTTAATTCTAGCACTGGGGTGGGGGTGGGAGGAACAGGGGTGGAGACAGGCAGATATCTGAATTTGAGGCCAGCCTGGCCTATAGAGCAAATTCCAGGACAGCCAGGACTACACAGAGAAACCTTGTGTGTGTGGCAGGGGGAGGGGGGGATTGGGCTCAGTTTGACAAATTGGTCTAATTCCAATTTTCAACATGAGTACTTGGGCAAAGGACTTCAGCTTCCAGAACTGGTAGGAAAGATCTGCTCTGTCCAGCCCAAACCAGGTAACAAAAGGCAAAGGAAGCCTCTAGGTGTGTGTTCTGTAAATGTGTAGTGGCTCCGTTGACTCAGGAAGCATTGATATGCATACTACAAAACTGCAGTGGCTTTAAAGAATTTGACTGTCAGAATTTGTGTGTGTGTGTTAGTGTTTTGAAACAAGGTCTTACACTACAACTCCGGCTTTATCTGCCTCGACTATATATTGTGTTGCTCCATAGCCACTAACCACATAGACATCTAAATTTAAAATTAAGGAACATATAAAATTGAGGTCTAGGTCAAGTGTTCAGTGATTGCCTGTTGGCTGTGATGTTAGCACAGGTGTAGATGTTTCTCGAACCATGGGAAGTTTGGGTGTAGTGTTCTGGGCTAAACTCTAGAACTCTGTGTGCTTATTTTGCCCCTTTGGCCTTTATGTATAAAGCTAATATGAAGCTGATTTCTTTAAGGACATTAAGCTGGTTTTCCTTTAGCTAGGTCTCCTCTGATTGTTAGCTCTCCTATTCAGTGACCTGCCTATTGAGAACAGGTTCTCCAGCGTGTCTGGAGTTAATGCAATTTCTTGAATAATGATGGGTGATTCAAAAAGCTAATTGCCTAATTGGAACTGTAATTGTGTTCTCCAGGTGTCATTTTCAAAATTGTCTTTTTCTTTAAGATGCTAAAGAAAACCCTTATGGGGAGGACGACAACAAGAGTCCATTCCCCCTGCAGCCCAAAAACAAACGCAGTTATGCCCAGAATGTGACTGTCTGGATCAAACCCAGCGGCCTGCAGGTAATGACAGTGTTCACATTGCTTTCTGCTGGGGGCAGTGAAAGCATTTGATTTTTCTCTCCTTTGATGCTATGTAATTCATTTACTTCTAATGCCTGTCCTTATTTCCCAAAAGGATATGAGATGGTCTACAGTGAGACACATAAATAACAAAATCATTTCTTACAAAGTTTAGAGCAATAACAAAAGTTGTATTTGAGAACTTTGGTTCTGGGCTTCCTGCTATCATGGTCAAAAAAAACAACAAATGCCTTGTACAGTTTTTCCTGTCTATTAACAGGACGCATGGAACCATTTCCAGAGAAGTGTATTTTCCCAGCATTGGATTTTATTTATTTTGTATTTTTGAGGCAGTCTCATACAGTCCAGGCTGGCCTTGAATGCCTCATCCTCCTGCATCCACTTCCTAAGTGCTGGGATTACAGACAGAAGCCATCACACCTAGTTTCCCAGCACTGGATTTTTAGAAATATTTCTTGGGAATTTTGCACATCAGTACAGTGTATTTTGATCACATCCACCCCTTTACCTTCCAACTTCTCCCAGGTCCTCCCCCAACATACCCTCTTCCTAAATTCATATTTTTTTAATTTTTTAAAAAATAACCTAGCAAATCCAATTAGTGCTGCCCACGTCACACATGGGTGTAGAGCCATGCACCATAGCATATCAGGAGCTATGTCCCTTAGGAGAACTGAGTCTCCCTCACCAAATGATGATCAGTTGCTGTAGATCTTTGCTTAGGGGTAGGGCCTCATGGGCCAACACTGGATTTGAGTTTAAAAGTCTTGACGTGCTAAGCTGTAGGGTAAGACGGGGTCTTACTCCACTGTAGCCTTAGCTGTCCTGAACTGGCTATGTAGACCAGGCTGGCCTCAAACTCATAAAGATCCCCCAGCCTCTGCCTCCTGAGTGCTGTGATTAAAGGCCTTCACTACCACACCTGGCCGTTATGTTTGTTTGTTTTTAATGAAGCAGAGTTAAGGTTTAATAATTTTAGTATAGGCCGGAGGGTTACAAGAACGGGGTGTACATAGAGGAAAGACAGGCCTAAGAGCATATTGTTAGTGTGGACTTGCTAAAGAGTTACAAAATGTCAGACAGACCCAAGTGTGGGTAGAGCTTCTCAAGGGTAAGTTCCATACAGTGTTCAAAAAGGCCTAAATCTTCTGGTTATTTCTTCTATCCCTACAGTAAAATCCAAGCCAGAATGTGTGTGTTCAGTTTATAAACAGAAAAGGGTTGTTTGGGCTCATGGGTTTGGGAGTCTCCAGAGCTTTGGCCCTGTGATATCATCATGGCAGAAACTGATAGAGGAGCAAACTTGCTTATCATGTAGCCAAGAGGCAAAACAGACGAGAGAAAAGCCAGGGTTCCTCTGTCCCCTTAATGGTGCTGCCCTCCTAGGGGCTCCAGCCATGTAACATTATAATTCACAAATCAGTTCCGTAGGGAGTTAGAATTGTTACCTAAGCATGGCGCGTTCAGGCAAGGCACTTGAGGACCATTCTCCTTCCACTGACACAGCCACTTGTTTCTATTTTAACAGCCACTTAGGAAATTCCCTTTTCCTTTGGGCACCTTAGCCAGGCAGTGGTGGCACACACCTTTAATCTCAGCACTTTGGGAGGCAGAGGCAGGCGGATCTCTGTGAGTTCAAAGCCAGTCTGGTCCACAAGAGCTAGTTCCAGGATAGGCTCCAGAGCTACATAGAAAAACCCTGTCTTGAAAAAAGAAAAAAAAAGTTTCTCTAAGCTCAGTGCACTGAGAAGAGGCATTCCAGCTGACAAAGTGCTTCTGTTGACTGCATTGGCTCCTTGAGACCTTTCCCTAGAGGCTGAAGCAATCCTGCCTTGACTAAGGGGTCTGTAGCCTTGTCTCTGTTCCTTGTCTATCCCTGACCCCAGCACTTCCTGGCCAGGAGGCTCAGAGCTACTTTGACTGAATCACTATTTTAGCCCTGGATTCTTGTTTGTTTTCTTATTTTAGTAATGTACACATTGAATTTACCATTTCATCCATTTAAAGATGTACAAGTTCAGCAGTGTATACTGTTAGGTGGTCATTGGCACCACCTAGTTCCAGACAGGAAACTCCTGTGTGCTTAATCATTGAACCATGTCTCCAGCCCCATTTTGAGCTGATCTTTTTTTGTAATGTCCTGTGAACTGAAGGTTCAACTTTTTTTTTTGCACTCATTCAGTTTTCAACAACAGTTATTCTTTCCCCATCAGTGTTCTGTCCATAGATTTGTAGGTGCACTGGGTCTATTTCTATGAGACGATTGATTTAATACCATCAAGCCTTTTAAAGGAGGAAGGTGTTTTGCCATTGTGGAGCAGAATACTAATATCACCTTAGAAGGGCTCTTCATGTTGACAGTCTGTTCTTATAAGTTACTGGGTTGGTTTTCTTTTAAGATTTTTTTATTTATTAAAGATTTCTGTCTCTTCCCCACCACCGCCCCCCATTTCCCTCCCCCTCCCCCAATAAGATTTATTTATTTATTGTATATATAGTATTCTGTCTACATGCATGCCTGCAGGCCAGAAGAAGGCACCAGATCTCATTACAGATGGTTGTGAGCCACCATGTGGTTGCTGGGAATTGAACTCAGGACCTTTAGACGAGCAGGCGGTGCTCTTAACCACTGAGCCATCTCTCCAGCACCCCTTTTTTTTTTTCTTTAAAGCCACAGAATTCTAACATTGAATTATTTTTATGCCTCATAGACAGATGTACAGAAGATCTTAAGAAATGCAAGGAAGCTCCCTGAAAAAACACAGACATTCTATAAGGTGAGACTGTCAAAACTGTAGTAGAAAAATCATGGTAGTTGTGATTACGGTGTGGGGGTAGAATTGAGTGTGCACCACGTGATACGGTGAGGTACTCCTGTAGCCTCAGGTGAGCAGCCCTCAGATATCACACCTACCTTGTCTGAGTATCATCTTACTGCCTTTAAACCTAGTTACTAACAATCTGGGGACATTGGACAAAATACAGTTTTAATCAGAGTTCAGTAAGAAAGCTTTCAGCCAGACAGACCCCCCAAAGCTGTGATTCATCCAGGCTCTTGTCCTCTGCACAGCTTCTGCAGTCTGTATGTCCTACTTGTGTCCAGTTCAAGAAGGAAGACTTGGTATTGAGGTGATCGTTCATCTTCCCTAATACAGTATCACCAGCACCACGTCTGAGAAACTGAAAGGGCCCCTGCGACTGGCTGCTTCGTGTCTTCAAGTAGATGAGGATAGGGGTCTCCTTCCTTGGAAAACAAGGCCTGAGACCAGAGTGGCTCCTCAGCTTGCCCACAACTCGCCCTAGTGGCTAATGGGGTGCTTTGTGTTTCTCTGGTCTGTCCCCAAATGTGTTCATTGTCACTTACACTCCAAGTCTGTATTAGAGAGGCACCAGGCTACAAGGCCAAGACTTGAAGCAAGCCTTTCCCATGCCTCATTAGGAGACAGAAACTAGTTGGCGTGGATGCTATGTGAAAGGTGCTTCCTGGGTTTGGCATAAGTGCACATTAATGGTGATCAGCCTGACCAACTACTGCTGAACACACTGCAGACACCACCTGTCAGTTACGTCTCACACTCCTGTCCCTGGATCTTATTTAAAGAAATGCTTCCTGCCAGGCTGTGGTAGTGCACACCTTTAATCCCAGCACTCGGGAGGCAGAGGCAGGCAGATCTCTGTGAGTTCGAGGCCAGCCTGGTCTACAAAGCTAGTTCCAGGACAGGCTCCAAAGCCACAGAGAAACCCTGTCTCGAAAAACTTTTGACTAATATGGAAAAAGACTGTGTGCCAAATATCTCACCTTAGAATGGAAAAACCTAGAGAGAAAGAGAGAGAGAGAGAGAGAGAGAGAGAGAGAGAGAGAGAGAGAGAGAGAGAGAGAGAGAGAGAGAGAGAAAGAAATGCTTCCTAGGTTGAGGCCAAAAAGAACTGACTTTAAAGCAGAGTGCTTGGAAATTGTCTGTTTCAGGAGCTGAACAGGTTACGAAAAGCTGCCTTAGCCTTTGGTTTCCTGGACCTGCTCAAAGGAGTGGCTGACATGCTGGAGAGGGAGTGCACCCTGCTGCCTGACACAGCCCACCCAGACGCCGCATTCCAGCTCACCCATGCTGCCCAGCAGCTCAAGCTGGCCAGCACCGGCACCTCTGAGTATGCTGCATATGACCACAACATCACACCCCTGCACACGGACTTCTCAGGGAGCAGCACTGAACGAATGTGATGCTAACCTCTGGAGCTTTCCTTCTCTGTTCATTTTGTCTGAAAATGAGCCCATTCAGCCCCAAATAGCCATCCAAGGACCTCGAGCTGTCTCAGAAGCAGCACTGCCAGTTTGAATGTCTCTACTGCGGTCTGAGAAAGGTCCGAAGGGTGGTTGTCTGGGGCTTTCACACTAGCTCCGTGGGGCTCAGTCTGAAACAGCTTTTGGTTCATGTTGAGCACAACTCCTGAGAAGCTTGGACAGATGAGGACAGAGCTCCTCTGCCGCCCTCAGGAAGCCTGCCCAGCAGGGGCCTTCCCACATCCAAAAAGCAACTTTTTTTTACAGGTTTACATCTCAATTCCACTGTGCTTAGAATAAGCAATCCAGATGTCTAAAACCTGTCTAAGTACAAACCTGATGCCACCAAGTTTCAAAATTTTTCTTAGAACTTGTTAAGATACAGTGGCAGTGCTCAGGTGCTTCTGGTGTATCTGAGGTACAAATCTTTAGACAGTAACCACATGTGTGTAAAATCATTCCTGTTCATGTTTTTAAATGAAAATTAAATATTTGATTTTTCTATAAAATGATTTCATTTAGAAACACGTTATTTTGCTCTATCTTATCCCTTGAATATAATTCAGCTTCCAAAATGTCATATTCCTAAGTCCTGACATTTCTTGGATTCTATATTAACCTCCTAGCTTCTGACAATGATCAAGATTTGCACCTCAGCCAGGTCCTGGTCAATGTGGTTCAGAGAACACTGATAGAAGTTGGGCTTCCAAAGGCTGTGTCACCGCTTATGGTTTAGTGCGAAGTACTAGGCAACGTTTGCCTAAGCAAAGACTTTACCCATTTGAAAACCATTAGTCTAAATAATCTTTAAACACAAATTATTAGGATTTTGACTGTAAATGTTTTAATAGAAATACACAATCTTTCACTTTCTCAGACAGCAACAAAGGGGATGCTAACAGCAACTAGAACATGGGATTTTGCACAAGGATGCAGCACAGTTGGCTGCAAAGCTGACCTGCCTGGTCAGTCCCACCGCCAGTGGAAGAAACGCCAGAAGGCACTACCAACAAGCACTGACAGAAGCTGCAAACCTGGAAACTACTCTTCAGTGAGATGAGGTTGTCAGACCAGCCAGCTTAATGCTAATCCAGCTTAATGCCTTGGGCTCACCGAGACAACACAGCTGAGAGTGGCAGACCTGGGTGCTGCCACCCTTAGCTCATTTCCAGTGTTACCTCATAACTAGGTTTACACGGAATATGGTAGTGAGACTGACATCTTGTACAATGGCCAACCCTGAGGTCTAGGTTTTATTCAGTTCCTCTTTTGGGGGGGGTTTCCTGCAGGAATCCTGGTGATTTCCCAGCTCAAGTTCCCACTGCACACAGGTTTTAAAAAATAAAAACAAACAGGAGTCTGAAGTTCAAAAAGGTAGTCTCACTGATCACTCAGAGAAATACACAAGAAAATGAGCTAGTCCAAAAAAGTTGTAGGCTGACTGTGTGCACAGCCCAGGACAGCTTGTAGGTGTGTCTGGCCTACTTTAGTATTTGCCACAGGCTCCCATTAGAACAGCTGTCTAGCTCCCAAATCTGTTTCTTTCTGACCCCTGCAGCCATTCATTCACATTTGGAACTTATAATATCAGTGCTTTGCAAGTAATGCTCCCTCTTTCTCCAGTGTTGCAGACAGTTCTGATTTAACTAGGAATGAAATATTCATGATGTTCCCAGGTTCTGATGGCTTTCTTTAAATCACTCTGCCTCTTCGATGCCCATGCTGCTAAGTGCTGTAGTAATGAAAGTCTTTAAGCAAAAGACATCAAATACGAAGTGTTCTCCAGCCCTACTCTGGCTCAAAAATGTTTAATCAATGACCAAATTTACCTGATTTTCAAAGTCAGTTTACCCCCTACACAAGTAACCCTTTGGGTATAATACATATTAGGTCCTGCCTGGGTCACTTCTGATCATTTTCAATGGGGAAATGTAGTCCTGTCCTAACTGTAAAGATAGAGAGTACCTGTAGGAAAGAGCAGACTGACATGAACGAAAGGTAAGGGCAGTCTAGCTGTCATTAAATACAGAAGCATGAACCTGTTGTCAGATACCAGAAATCCATGTCATGCAAGTACAATACTAAGATAAAATACAGTAAGTTCAGGAATGTTACTGGGGAAAGGAGATAGCCTTACTTAAAAAATAATAATAACTTTACATCAGTACAAGAAGGTAAAATGGTAAGAATCATAGATTCAGCTCAAACCGGCACAAAGCTACCAAATTTCTCTTTAGTGGAGCTTTCTCTTTCTTTGTCCAAACCGCCGCCTGCGCTGTTTATAAAGGTGACGAAAATTAATATATAACCCTGCAAAAAAAGAAAACACTGATTAGATGTCTGTGACTGGAAGTGGAGGTTCTGTGGTTTGTTCCCGCACGTCACAGCTTACGGTCCCACCAGCGGTGCTGCACTGTGCTGTCTCCTCATGCTCTGCCCTGCAGGTTTAGACAAGGATAAGTCCTGAAGAGTGGACAACTAAGATTTAACTTTTTATCATACTTTATCTCCTATAATCTGATCATCTGACTGCCTTTCTCATTTTTTGAGGCATTTTAATATTGATACAATCATCAATACAGTTTATACCCTTACATAAAAGATTAAGTTCAAAAATTTTTTGCTTGTTTTTCTCCTTATGCGTTTATTGAAATGCCCAAATGAAAACCTGCAAGACTATTCAAGAACACATTTAGTAAGCAGCAGTCTAGACGAACAACACAGTAGTGAGGAAACAGGATTTCAGAGTCAAGTTCCAATTCTACTTGGCCAGTAAGTTCTGAAGCTCAGCCTCACTTCAGTTCCCTCATTTGTACAACAGGGATAAAAACACTCCACAGACTTACTGTGAGAAAATGGTGTATATAAAATTCCTTGACCTACGAATATGCACTACCTGGTTAAGACCTGAAGTTGGGACTTTGGATTTTCTTCATTCTGAAGAAGGATGCACACCTTGCAAATTCAACAACAGTAACACAAAGGAAAGATAACAGAGTTGGTGCATATGAAAATAGTCCTATGCTTTCTTGGAGATGGCCTTACTCTATTGCCCAGACTAGCCTCAGTCTCCCTGCTGCTGTGGTTATAAATGTGAGCCGCCACACAGGTACGGAACTGCTTGGCTATCCTGTCTAACACATGGCAGGAATGTGCATGTATAGCTAGTACTTACCTAAGAATAACATTACAAGGTAAACCTGAAGGAAGAGGGAAAATTGAACTTTCATCTTCACTGGATATGGCAAAGTAAAACTGAACCTTCCTGACTCATTGAATACTGGAATGGACTGGATCACTGCCACAGCTGGAAGGAAACAAACAGATAATGAGAAGCAAATGGAACAGGTGCATGAAGCAATAGCCTCCAGTGGCTCAGGCCTCAGGTCCAGCCTGAGGCTTCAGGAGATGTTTCCTCCTCCCTCTACCTCTCACACTGCCTCTAAGCTGTCAACAGAGCAGAGAACAGCCCTCGCACTGGGCTGCTATGGGCTTATCAGGAATAAAATCTCACTTTGGAATACTAAGTAGCGTGTCAATAAAGAGCATGCATGCAGCTCCTGAGCACCCTCCTCCAAGCCTTGTGAAATGAGCCCCCCCATCTCTGGAACAGCACAAGAAGTATGCAAAGAGGCCATCAAAAGACATCCCTGCAAAGTCTTAGCAGTACCTTAAGTAGACCAAGGCTGGCAGAAGCAAAAAAACGGCCTTTTAACCCCTAGGGCACCCCTGGGAGCTACACTATGAGACAGAAAGTTTCTGAAAATACCTTCTGACAAGCATCCCAGGGGGTATAAAGGAATCCACATAGTGTAACGGAGCCACGTGAGCACGTCCCAGTCCACGTCGATGCAGGACAGCATGTAGAAGGGGTACCTATGGAGAACAGAGCTCGGTTCTAAATTCAACCCTAGATGAGCACTCAAATACCAAAGGGTTTGCCACCGGCAGCATGTGGGTTAGCTCCACGCCAACTCCATTGGCAGGCTCAGTGTATTCTTCCAGGAACCTTCTTTGTTCAGCTACACACTGGATGCTTAGAACCTAATTGGCTTTGTTCTCATCTATGTTCCCAGTGGGTAGAGATGCCAAACTCTACCTCTGGATAAATAGATGGTCCTAAATTATACAAAAAGCTTCTAATCTGGAGTCAGAAATGCCCAGCCTTAAAAGAGACATCACCCTAGGCATGGCAGTGCACGCCTTTAGTCCCAGCACAGAGGAGGTAGAGGCAGGCAGGTGTCTGAGTTCAAGGACAGCCCAATTTATATAACAAGGCCAGTCAAGGCTATACTGTCCCTGACTGAAAAACAAATTTTAAAAAGAAACATCACAAGAAATTCATTTCTTCCCAAATAGAAAATGTTAAAATCAAGGACCTTGAATCTGTTTCATACTTTTGCATCCAGCATGTCTGAGGGTACAGACCCAGGCACAGCTGAGACATGGGCCAAGCACCACTGCCTCTTCCCAGTGCACCATGAATTCTCAAACTATTACTACTCACATCTAGAGCTGAGGAGGCAATCTGCAGAAGCCTAGCTGAATAGGACTCAATGGGGAAGCAGACACTGGATGGCGTGGCTAAAAAGGAACACAACTGGATAGATTCTTCTGTTGTCTATACATCAGGCTGACCTCAAATTCATGGCAATCTTCCTGCCTCAGCCTTTGGAGTTCTGGAATTACAGATGTGTGCCACTATACAAGGCACTGAATTAATTTTTCAAAAGTTTTTTTTTTTTTTTACTGACAATTCAAAGAGAAAAAAATAGCTAAGCTAAGCTCAAGACTTGAGTACTCCTGAGTAAGCTTACCATGCCTCAGGAAGGTGACTAACTAACACATCCACCTGGATTGCTGCTCCCACCTTGTGCTCCTCCAGCCTTCTCAAGTACTTCCCTCATGGTTGGGTCTTGGGTCTTTGCAACCCAATGGTGAGACCTTGAGGTTGTAGTAGCCGGGTCTTTTGTTCTCCGGTTCTCTGTTCTCTATAGCCGCAGAGCTCGCTGATGGAGCTAGAATTCTCACATGTATAATGCTAGCCCCAAACCAAATGAAACTTCTAGTCAAGGCAACAGCATCCACTCCAGAGAGGGGCAAGTATTTCTACCCACCTGAAAATTTCAATTGCACTCCATGAATAAAACACAAAGAAAACCACAGCTTTGTTTTGCATTTCTTCCGTGGTGCCGAAGATGATAAATAGAATAAAATTTCTTCCAAGAAACTGTTAAAAAAAGACCCAAAGGAGAGAAAATTTACATATCGTATCTATGTGCACATCTACTTCTCTGTCTGCATATCTGCAGCATATGCAAGCATGTTCCTACAAATGCCCACTTTTTAAAGCCTTTGCTAAGGCTTTATTGGGGGTGGCAGGGTGGAATTGAGTGGAGTGTGCTTGCAGGAGTTGGTCCTCTCTTTTACAGGAGATGTTGAACTTGGAGCTTTTACCCACTGAGCCATTTCATGGCCCCTTGTTACAGTATTGGAAAAATGATCCACGCAG